CGTCCAACATGGTAAAGAAGTAGACTGCCAACCTCTCCTACCGGCCAACTTCCAACTTGAAGGGACCTGGATCGAGATCTCGCCGGCGTTGAAGAGGACATCGTCAGTAATGGAGTTGGACGCGAACGAAGAAAAGGACACCATCACTCTAACGAAGATATCGCCTATTTCCTCCCATGGTCTCTACACAAAAGAGGAAATGGACACCTTCCAACAAGCCCTATTGTTCCCGAATGAACGTGAGGCTGTAGCGAACGAGATGGCAAGGCGCCTCGCCGGAAGAAAAAATACAACCAACCGCTACTACATGCCAGGACTCTTTATGAGAGTAGAGTTCAAGAACATCGCCATTACTGCGGCGGAACATGTCTGGGGGTTCCTATCACGTATGGGCAACATCTTCTCGGTGTGTGCATTCCTATATACCATGCTATGTATTGCCAGCTATGTCGCGAGTGTGATCGCGAACTATTTCACACTCCGAAACGCAGCGAGGAACCATCCGAGGAGGAGACGCTACCTATGGGCTAGTTTATGGCAGGCTCTAGCTCACCGTTATCTGTACCACCTACACACACAGCGAGAAGGGCAGTTCGAACTTCAAGAAATCAACCACCAGAGTAATGCCGAGACCACAACGGAGGTGGACGTCGCCATCCAAGTAGAGCCGGTACCCACGGCTCCGGGCTATCCACAACTGAGGCTGTGCAAGGATAGCACGTGCCTGGATCCACACGCAGTGGCGTATCAATAGGTCACAAGAAAATCTTCCTTACTTTTCTGTTTCATATTTTTTCTTTATTTTAACTATTATTCCATTTATCCTATTGTTAAGCTATGCCTTCCGAACAATTTTATTTGTTCCGTCTAAGGGGGGGGGGGGTAATGTAGCAATGTAGCCGACCAAGTTATCAATTTTAAATTCGTTGAAATAATCTGTCACGCCGCCTGCCCTTGTAGAAATTCGTCGCATCCATGAAATAAAAACAAACAAACAGAACAAACACTCGTATCTGCAAACCACCCAGCGAACACCGAGGGAAACCAAATTCATAATTCGAAGAAAATAGATAATAGAACCGGATGCTATAAAGTTGGGCCTTTTCAAATAGGCTGGGACAAAAACATGGTTTGGAGATGTATTCTGTAATAACATTTGGATGCTATAACCATAAAGCTTACAACCGAAGGAATGCAGTTAAACTTGAAACTCAACCATTTGGGTAGCAGATGTTAGAAGCTACCCCGGGCGCTGAACGGTTAAGCGTCAGAGGCGTATCATGGAATATCTAAGACTTCCGAAGGCTAGCATATTACTAAGTTGTCACGACTGTGGGAAAATATGATGAAAAAAGAGGAGGCAAACAGCTAGGTTTTAGTAGAATTTTCCCCTAGCTGATAGGAGTAGGTGCGCCAGGCTGGAAACGATTCTACCTTCTGTCAACGTACGCGTTGACAGATGCGGCTTGGAAATTATCATTAGAGAGGGGCAGGTGAAACTAACGAAAGACTGCGTAGTTCCAACAAAGCTAATCTTGTTAAAATATGTTAAAATTCCAGAAGAAAGTCACCGTTAGTTTCACCTAAATGCTATGTAAAAAAATTTTATAATTATTTAAGAGGACATCTCGAAATGTGGCCTCAGCATTGTAGGAATTCCCAATCCATTGAAATTATTGAAAATTGCGGGATCTGCCCCTAAGCAAATAGAGCCACGAGACGCCACTGAAGGGGGCGTGTCGTGTTAACTTAAGGGAAGACTGTATGCTGACGCCACTCCTTGAGGTGGGACAAGGGAACGTAATTAACCAATAGAGTTTAAGGTCATTTTGAGTTCAAAAATTAAGTCTAACAATCATTGGTCAGGTTCGTCTCTATCTTTAGAGAACCAGACGGCCATTGCAAGGGTTGTAAACTGATCGACCAATGAAGAGACACGGGTTGAACTTCTAAGTAAAAGTGACCAGCCTTCTGATGGAGGGGAAAATCCGCAACTGACCTCCGACAGTTTTGAAACTAAAAACTTCAGTTCTTCTCTCATCTTTGATTTGCACGGTTGACAAAGTTGCTTCGATTTTCCCTCAGTTGGTGGCTGTTAATATGTGTTGCGTTGTTGAATTGTGTCAAGTTGTGTTTCCATCAGTAAGCACTTCAAGTACCAAAAAGGAGGCTTTTCCTCCTTTATTAGCCCTTCTGGCTAAAGCTATATTAACACCTAGTCCACTAAGGATTCTAGGAACTAGCCTGATTAATTAGCACTCTAAAGTTGAGATTCTTGAATTTAATTTTGTCATTAGGTTCAAACTTGAATTTATTGTAATTTAGTTGTCACCGTTCCTTTGAACTTAGCCGTAATTCACTCCTCCAGTGATCCTTTCCCCAGTCTATTAGTTATACAGCGTTAATGATTCTTGTCATTGCTGAAGAAGCACAAGTTCGAGTCTGTAATTCATTTAATAATAAAAATTAGCCTCCTCTAACTTGAGTTTCATTAAACTTATTGACTGAAGCTAACGGAGTTCGACGGTTCCGAAAGTATTCGTTCGGGCGTTCACCACGTTCCCTGGATCACTTGAAGAACAGAAGAGGCAACGTTCTGCGCAAAGTGAGTGTTTCAATGAGTCATGATTCTAACGGGTGGGCCATCTATCGGTTTCGATTTGAACCACGTGTTAATTTGACGCTGACAATACTTATGTCAATCTGATTTGTCATAAAATTCAGTATATTATCTCCGCTGAACGAAATGAATCGATTTACGCTTGAGCAACGTTGGGTAATATTGGAAATTTATTTCCAAAACAAAGACAATTGGGCAGAAATTGCACGAAAATGCCGTTCAAAATTCGGTCGCAACGAAGCACCAACAGCGCCCGGTATACGCAAGTTTATTAATAAAGTGCGTGAAACTGGTTTCATTGTTGATGCTCCAACACGTCAGCGTGCTCGTACAGTGCGTACACCCGAAGGTATCGATGCTGTGGCTGCGAGTGTGCGTGAAAATCCATCAACGTCAACACGTCATCGTTCCCAAGAATTGAACATTTCCCGCACCAGTTTACGACGAATTTTGCGGAAAGATCTCGGTATGACGCCTTACAAAGTTCAATTGGTTCAAGAGTTGAAGCCGCGTGACCATCCACTTCGTTCTGCCTTCGCTACATGGGCCAACGAGCAACTAATCAATGATGTCGATTTTGCGAAAAAAATAATCTTTTCAGACGAAGCTCATTTTCATATTGGTGGCTACGTCAATAAGCAAAATTGCCGTATCTGGGGCTCGGAAAACCCACACGAGGTCTTAGAGAAGCCAATGCATCCCTTGCGAGTGACTGTTTGGTGTGGATTGTGGAGCGGAGGCATCATTGGCCCATATTTCTTTGAAGACGGGGACGGCGCAACCGTTTCTGTCAATGGAAACACCTATCGCACCATGATAACTGATTTTTTTGTTCCTGCTCTTGATGGTATTGATGTGGAGAATGTTTGGTTTCAGCAGGATGGTGCAACTTGTCACACATCGCATGCCACAATCAACTTATTGCGCGAAACCTTCGATGGCCGTTTAATCAGTCGAAATGGTGATGTCAATTGGCCGCCAAGAAGCTGCGATTTGACACCATTGGACTATTTCCTGTGGGGCGCTGTTAAAGACAAGTGTTATGTCGACCATCCAGAGACAATTGACCATTTGAAGGCCAACATTCGTGATGCCATTGACGAGATACGGCCCCAAACACTCGAAAAAGTGCTCGAAAATTGGTCCGATCGAATGGGCTACTGTGAGGCCAGCCGCGGCAGCCATTTGAATGAAGTAATATTTCATTTCTGAGCGGAACAATTGTACTTCAAAACAAAAAAATAAATTTGGCAATATCTCAAACCGTTTTTGTTTTATTTTATTTTTAAATCGAAACTTTTAAATGGCCCACCCATTAATTACTTATGTCAGGTTCTACGTCAGTCTACCTCCCATAGGAAGACAAGTAAAAGGTAACAGAAGCTGAAATTCGAGTGGTCTCGGGCCAGTCCAGAAATTAGAGCATTAGACTGAAGATCTAACTATATATTCAAGGCACGACATTGAGGGGCCCGGGAGTCTCGGACGAAGTTACTGTTACAGGCCCTTGGCCAGCGTGATATCCCGGTTCCTGGACTGCCTTTTTGTAACAATCGTTAAACTCAGCACGTCTGACCATACACCTAGCGACCAAAGAGTTAGATTGAGTCTGTGTGACGACTCCTATTAAGTCTGTGTGATGACTTAATGTCCAGTCTGTGTGATGACGATCCCGTGATTCAGTCGATGACGAATCCGTAATAGTAGTTGGGGTACATTAATGTAATGGTAAATAGTGGATTTGTGCATGTGATGTCATGAGTCAGTTGAATCGGGAGATACTCATAAGTCTTTTTTCTAAAAATAGGTGTTGGCCCCGACAATCCGATCATATCGCCCTTATCGCTTGCCAAAGGAGGATAACTCGTTGTCGTTTCGTCACCAAGTAAGTGACTTTAATACTACCCTGACATTGTTGCCCATATCGAATTGTTTACGTACTGCCCATGTAGTAAAAATGAAATGGTATGGGGCGGTACTTCGAAATCTTCTAAGATGAGATGTTTTCACGTTTATCGTTATATTGCTATTATCATATTATCTCTTTCGTATCCTACAATAATAAATTTGATCTCCCTTCTAAATTGACCAGTAAATAAGAGCACAGATGTTGAACAAACTATTTTACCTACATTTTGTATGCCTTTCTACAAAGTAAAAAATAAAACGTGAAATTTTTACTTTGAAAAAGACTGACAAGACTCAAAACTTGAATAACTAAATAGTGGTCATAAGCTCTAAAAGTTCAAGGCTTATCATCATAGATACTCAGATTATGTTAACATACTATTTCAGATCACTTTAGATTAAAGCACTTCATGTACTTTTCATTCATCTAGATACTGTACAGATAACTAAAAGTTATCAATAAAATACATACATTGAGACAATAGGTTGTATCAAGTTTGAGAGTTTAATTTGAGTGTTTTTTTGTTTTTTTTTAGGCTTGAATTCTCCCCAGCATTGCAAAAACATTCAGACTTTAGCATCGCATATTCCTGTGCCTAGGTATAGTTCCACTGATGAGCCTATGTTTGAAGGAAATCATAGTGGTATGCATTTTGGATTTTATTAACTTTTAACGTTTGAATGTATCTGGTATTATTAATATCATTCTTTTACAGCTTTTGAAATACAAGTTATTAATCTACTTGTTACTATTAAAAACCAAAACAAAGATATTAAAAGTATCTTGCTACAGAACAATAAAGAATTGACATTCGAGTTACCGTCAGACTTTCCTGTGAGCCTTCCCATAGTGATTGCTCAAGATATAAACCTTTTGGAAGAATATTTAAGGAGCGAAGCAAAATTATCACTTCTGGTAGGTTATACATGTATATTTTCTTAGATTTGTTACAATAAATTGACTTAGGTGGAAATGTACATTTAAAAAAATAATTTTGTAACAAATGTCAGAAGAGCTATACTGCTGGTGAAATAATGTTGAAGAATAAAATAAATATTTTCATTATACCAGATTAAATACATATCCTGTGAACTTTAGTTGGTTATACATGTATGACCTAATAAGAAAATTTCATTTCCTTTTTCAGATATTGTACCTCTCAAAGTTAGGGGGACGTGATATAACGAATAAGACAAACATAATTTTGAGGCGCCTAATATCTAATCAGTTGGCAGTAAGATACAGTTATTTAGGAACCCGGCAAGAGAAGAAGGCATTTAAAAGTACTATTCTTAATAAGGTTGTAATAAGTAAGTATTACAAATCTCTATAGGTTTCAAAACAAAGTTTCAGACCTATTATTGCTTACAAATTTCGTTTTCTGTATCCGATGCTACATACAGGACTTGGTGTACAACTATATTCAAAAATTATTTTTCATGTGACTGCTTTGTATATAGGTAAAAAAGTAAAAAAAAATCTAAAACAGTATGTTGAACAATCATACAATTTTTTCCACAGCCAAATCATATTGATTATGTGATGGTTGGATTGTGTAATCTTATTTTGTACCTACACAGCAGATTATATCATATGAAGATTATCTATATTATCAAATTTTATTTTAAGGAGCTGTTCTTTCTGGCACCATTGCAACTGAACAAGAAATAGAAGATGCCATTAAAAATGGTTAAAGCATGCACTAAAAAGATTAAAAATAAAATAGTAATGTATCTTTTTTATACTCAGTAATAGTAGACTGTAATATTGCGTTACCTCTAAACAATATTAAAGTTTGATTTTCTGCTACATAACCTTTTTTTTTGTTTTGTTAGACAATGTCACGAAGTGAAGGGAACCATAAAAAAGTCGTTAGTGAGCGTCAGTCATTTAGACATGTCGACAAATATTTAATGAAATAAATTCCTCACAGGTTGTGGCTTCACCTCAACAACAGAGCATTAATACTGTAGAATCCAGTAATTCAAATTTTGATGTAGCTGAAGATATTTTGAGCAATAGCAATAATATTGAACCAGATCTGAGAACCAGCAATCAAAGCTGTAGTGTGCAAATTGGAAGGGAACTTGAAGAAAATTCAGACGTAATAGATGATAATTCCATAGATGAAAATAATGAACTAAGTTTAAAAGATGAATTACAATGTTGGGCTACAAATTTCAAAATCTCTCATACAGCCCTTAAAGATCTTCTCCATATTCTGTCATCCTATCACCCTGAGCTTCCTCTTGTTAGCCGCACGTTATTGCAAACTCCAAAAAAATTTGATATAAAAAGTTTTGGGTCAGGCGAGTATGTGTATTTAGGCATAAAAAATAATCTGGAAAAATTCATTAGACAACATGATTATAAAAATGACACACTTATTCTGAATTTTAATATTGATGGTATTCCTTTGTACAAAAGTTCAAATATGCAAGCATGGCCTATTTTGGGATCACTGAAAGTGGATAACATGCAAAAGGTATTTGCTATAGGAATTTATTGCGGTACGTCAAAGCATTCTCCTTTGTCTTTGTATTTTGAGGACTTCATCAATGAACTAAATATAATAAAAAATGGCATTTTTGTAGATACTAAAAAATATTTGGTAAAATTAGGAAATTTCATATGTGATGCAGCGGCAAAGTCTTTCATAAAAGGCATCAAAGCACCTGGTGGTTATTCATGTTGTGACAAATGTACTGCAGAGGGAGAATATATTAATGGAAGAGTAGTATTGCGTGATACAAATGCTCGGAAAAGAACTGATCACTCATTCAGACTAAAACTTGATGATGATCACCATGTTGGCACAACACCATTAGTCAATTTAGAAATAGATATGATTCAAAATTTCCCTATTGATTACATGCACAACATTTGTCTAGGTATTACAAGGAAATTACTACTTAGCTGGTCTGGAGAAAATTTACATATTAGACAAGGTGCTAGAGTGCTAAATGAAATATCAGACATACTAATAGGTTTTCAAAAAGCTACTGTTAAGGAAATTAACCGAAAACCAAGGTCTTTAATGGACCTAAATCGTTTCAAAGCATCTGAGTTCAGAACCTTTTTATTATATACAGGAGTTGTTGCATTGAAAGATACCATTAATAAAAAAATGTATTACAATTTTTTAATATTAGATAGTGCAGTTTCACTTTTAATATATAACAGTACTCATGAGATGGGAAAAGTTAACTGTGATCTAAGTAGTAACCTTATACATAGATTTATAAAAGAATGGGAACAAATATATGGCACAGAATTTTTGATTTATAAAGTTCATATTTTACATGTATGTGATGATGTTTTACAAAATGGTGCATTGGATAATTTTTCTGCTTTCCCTTTTGAAAATTTCCGGTCATATCAAAAAGTTGATAAAATCGCCAACTAATCCACTACAACAAATTTGCCGAAGAATTTGTGAAATTCAGAATATATCAAATTTGCCAACATTATCAAATAGAAAACAATTTATGTTTGAATTAGAGCATCATAATGGTCCATGCTATCAATCTGAACTTTACAAACAGTATAAAAAGCTTTCTACGGAGACTTATGAGATTTGTATAAATGCACATTCAGAAGCAAACTCATATTGTTTTACTGATAAGTATGTTATTGAAGTACATAATATTCTAGTTAATTCAAAAGGAGGCGGATTTATTTAGGGGAAAAAGTTTCTCTCGAAGAAACCATTTTATCTTTACCCTTTTGATTCTGGAGATGTACTAAATATTTATTTGATTTCCAATCCATCATGCAAACTTCACATTTGGCAGTTTTGTGAAATTCGAGGAAAATGTTTTCTTCTACCTTATAAAGAAAGTAAGGTCTCGTTCCCTCTCATACATAAAATTTGGAAAACACTTGATAAATAAGATGTAGGATGACTTGTATAGTATAAAATTACAAACCCAAAATGTGGACACATTGGGGCCATTAGGCACAGTTAATTTTGAAAAATAACTATCCTTAATATTTTGTCAGAACGTGGAGTTTGCATTATTGAACGGTTCGTTCAGTGACTGCTGCTTTGGATAAGTTTCGTAAAAATGTCGGCTTTGTTGAGAGTTTTCTTTGTGCATCACCATATGGGAGGTAGATTCTCTCTAAGGACTCAAGAATATATCAACGCTAAATGTGACGCTCACGAAACGATTGTTCAATTCACTAAGATTCACTAACTAGGAAGCTAACATGCAATATGTATTAAACATCTACAAAAGTTGTATTCTCTATTTTATTTGTATGTGTATATGAGTTAATATATAATCTTATTTATCAGTATTCATTTATTTTCAAATCTCGCATAAAATGTATGAGCAGATATGATGGTTTGTATTTAAAGCAATCAGTGGACTTTGGACAAAGAACTAGCATACTCATGTTTTTAAGGAGCTGTTATGATTAGTGAAGTAGTTACTTCAAATAAAATTACTATAGTATTAATCCTCCATTTTGTCTGCCCTTACAATTCGAACCACATAATATGTTTAAATTCTGTATACTGTAATGTAAATATTTCTTCCACCACAGTGGTCTACTTCAGTACAATCACAATTGAAGGGTAGAGTAAATGAAGGTGGTAAGTAAGATTTGTTCAAAAATGAGTTCAATATGTTTGATGAAGACTATCAGTGATGTTCTGTCTGGAAAACAGGTTATTAACAATAACAGTTTTCCAGGCAGAGTACCAGTTCTAGGCTTCGCGAAACATATTTTTTGATCCAAATGGTAGTTACCATCTTCATCCAGTTACCCATTCAATTTTGTGCCAATTATGTGTCTTCAGGTATGAAAGATATACAGAATAATAATCAACGTTTAAAACACGTGAATTCAGCATAATAAATCACGTCGATTAGATGTGTGTAAATCACGTGGAATCGTTGTCAGAAAATGACATCGATTCTATCTGACATTTCGCCCACAAATTCAACGGACTTTCCACGTCGAAAAGGGCCGTGAATACTACGTAAAGAGGTACGTTCTTATCACGTGAAATACACGTGTCCTTGCTGGCTGGGTCTTCAAACAGAAACGACAGATTTGATGACAGCACATGAGTTATTAGAAAATGCACATATCGAAGTTTCTTCCATGCGAGAATAGTTCGATGAATTTGTAAAGGAAGCAAGCGATTTATGTTTGAAACTTGGCATTCCTTCTCAATTTTCAAAAAAAAGTGCACGGAAAACGAAGAAAACATTTCGATGTATTATGCGTAGGCGAAACACTTTCGGATCCCAAGGAAAATTTCGCAGTGACCGTTTTTGACCCTTTAGTGGACACGACTTGTTTCCAATTAAAGTATCGATTCGAAGGTATGGAATTGGTTCTAGAAGTCTACAAGATTATTCAACCAAAGTTCATAATCAATGCCACTGACGAAGAAATTTCGTTAGAAGCCGAAAAATTTCTGAAAATTTTCCACGATCACATTTCTCCAACATTCCCATCGCAATTACTGTCTCTGCGATCAGTGTTTCGAAAAAAAATAAGTCAGATTGATAGTGTGAAACAACTTGCCGAAATGATTATTATTGAAAACAGTTCCTTGACGTCAAGTTACTCTGATGTATGCACTGCGTCTATTATGTTCTTGACACTTCCTGTGTCAGTTGCAACGGCAGAGAGATCTTTTTCAAAATTGAAGTTAATAACAAATTATTTGCGAAGCTCTATGGGGCAAGAACGACTGTCTGGATTGGCATTATTATCAATTGAGAATGAGCGAGCGAGGAAGATCGATTTTAGCGAAACTATCGACACATTTGCGGCATGCAAATCAAGAAAGCGGCATTTTTAATACTATTTATTAATCGAAAAAATAAAATTTGTTGTACTCAAACGAAAAAATGTTATTTTGTAAACAATCTAATAAAACTACGAAAAAAAAATTCAATTGTTTCACTTTGAAAAAAAATTGTTCAATTTGAAGTATTTTCAATATACAGGGTGTCCGCAAAGTTGGGGTTTTCCTTTTCAGAAACAACTACCCTTGAAATAACAAAGGTAATGTGTAGTGAAACGAGGGCGACCAAGTAAAAAAAAATAAAGGAAAAAGTACTCACTCTCCAGTTGACGAGAAGGGCTAAGTACGTCTCTGCCTGAAATCGAAAGTTATTCACCCCATTACGCGTGAACGTAGATTCGTCTGTCACCAATATGCACTTCAAAAAGTCCGGATTATTGTCATGTGATGCAACAACCACTCACAAAACCGCACTCTTGCTGGAAAATCGTCAGCTTGAAGGGCTTGTACACGTTGGACGTTTGCCACACTTTAGTTTTTGATACTTGCACTTCTCTAGCCACGTCTCTAGTGCTTGTTGAGGGATTCTCGTCTACGCGATTCAGTAGTTCTTCCTCAACTTGCACCATTCGTGGTTGTCTAGGCCTCCCACTGTGCCCACCTCGAAATTCCTCCAAATGGCCCGTATCCCTGACTCTCTGATACAGTAGAACTCCAATTATCCGAACTCCGACTATCTGAATCGCCGATTATCCGAATCACTTTAAATTTGTCCAAAGTCCGCGGCGTCAGTGTAGGCACAACAACACGTGGTATGAGTCCCCACTCCAGTTCCGGCACATTGCAGTCACGGCGCACCAATATAGTCAGTGTGCTATTGACCTTGCTCGAGGACGCTACTCTTTCGCTACGGCTTACAATACTATTGTACTGTATTGTTTTTCACCATGGCTTCGAAAAGAAAACGTGTTGTGCTATCGTTAGCGGACAAACTGAAAATTATAGAGCAACTCGATAAAGGTGTAACGGGTAAGAAGTTGTCTGAGATTTATGGTGTTGGACAAGCAACAATTTGTGACATTAAAAACAGTAAGTCAACACTTTTAAACTTTGTTTCGGTGCTTGAAAATGAAGATGGAAGTTCCTCCAGGAAAACAATGAAGACAGCAACCAACAAAAATTTGGAAGATGCCGTGTTTAAATGGTTTTTGCAGCAACGTTCTATGGGAAATCCGATTTCAGGTCCAATCCTTTGTGAAAAAGCCAAAATCTTAGCAGAAAAGCTTGGTTATTCATCTTTTAAGGCTAGTAACGGCTGGCTAAGGAACTTTAAATTCAGGCATGGTGTACGCGAGTTAGATTTGGCTGGTGAGAAGCTTTCAGCAGACTCTGCAGCTGCTGAAAATTTTATTGAAAAATTTAAAACTGCAGCAGAATCCTATGATCCGGAGTTTGTTTATAATGCCGATGAAACTGGCCTTGTTTGGAAAGCATTACCAAAAACCACTTTGGCTTCTAAAAGGGAATCTAGTGCCCCTGGACATAAGGTCAGTAAAGAACGTGTTACAGTGCTTAACTGTGCCAACTCCACTGGAAATCATAAACTACCACTTCTTTTGATAGGACAATCAAAAAATCCAAGAGCATTTAAAAACGTAAAAAAACTTCCACTCTTCTACAAAAGTCAACCCAAGGCCTGGATGACTGCAGCTTTGTTTACCGAATGGTATGATGAAGTGTTTATTCCTGAAGTGAAAAAGCACCAAAAATCGGTGGGAAAAGAAGGCAGTAAGGTGCTTTTAATTGTTGATAACGCACCCACTCATCCTACAGCAGAACTGTTGGAAAGAGAGAAAGGGCAGTTTAAAACGACGTTTTTGCCTCCCAATGTTACAAGTTTGCTGCAACCCATGGACCAGTCTGTTATTGAAACAATGAAGCGCCATTACAGAAGGCAACTGCTGAGAAAACTGCTGATCGAAGGTGCTGAAGATGAAGAATTGGTTTTGGCAAATCATAGCAAAATAAATTTAAAGGACTGCTGTTACATGGTAGCGGAAGCTTGGAGTTTGGTTACGGCAGTGACGCTAAGACGTGCGTGGAATAAACTGAAAGGCCTACCGTCTGAGAAGAACAAAAAAAAAGAATCTGAAGAAAATGAGAAACAAGAAAATGGAGAGGATGAAGATGATGAAGATGCGTTGTCACTAGAGGAAATAAGAAAAATGATTGTAAAAATTCCTGGTTGTACAGAAGTAAGTGCTGAAGATGTAGGAGAGTGGATGGCTTGTGACACGTCTGACCCTGGTTTTCAAATTCTCAATGACGATGAAATTGTTGAAAGTGTGAGAGAAGATGTTGAAGTGGAAGTGGGAGAAGAACTTTCTGCTGATGTTGAAGTAGACGCTGGACCATCAGCTAGTGAAGCATTTGCCGGCCTCGAGACTGCTTTGAAGTGGATGGAGCGTCAGCCCGAGTGTGACCACTTGCAACTGCTCACCGTCAAGCGAATGCGTGACCTGGCTGCCCGAAAACGGATGAAGAACGCAAAACAGCTTACATTGACGGAGATGTTTAAAAAACAATGATTTTTATTTCTAAACTTGTACATATGTATGTACGTACATACATTTTATGTATTTTATGTATGTATTTATATTTAAAACATGTGAAAATATCATGTTTCTTTCATTTAATTCAATAAAAAAAATAGTGCAATATCAAAACGTAGCATTTTTCTCTCCAATGGCAATTTTTAAAAAAAAAATCCGATTATCCGAATATTTGATTATCCGAATGGGTCCCGGTCCCCATTAATTCGGAAAATTGGAGTTCTACTGTACACAAATCTGCGGGGCCTTGGATGATGTCGTCTAGGGAAACGATCTGCATACACTCGCGACGATTCTGTATCATTTTGAAGACATTCGCCATAAATTAACAACATATCAACGAGTTCATTATTGGCGTATGAGTGTGCTATTATTATTATTTTTTTTTTTTTTGAAACGCAATCGATTATACGGGTTCGTTACCTCTATACGCGTGACCCTTTACCGTCGGTCGAAGGTTGCAGACTGACCTGACACACTGACCCCGACCCAGTTCTGTCGTCGGGTTCAGCTAGTAGCCGGTACCAGTCTGAGATATCGCGGGTCGCGGCTACAGGACGGTATTCAGATATTTTTGATGTTGCAGAGCCCTTTATCTCGGTTCCCTTAAGAAATTGCTTATGTTTTCAAGATCTACACGTCGTGTAAAGGAAAACCCCAACTTTGCGGACACCCTGTATTGAACTCATTTTTGATCCAAATGTTATTTACCACCTTCATCCAGTTAATCATCACGTGAAATCGTCGTCAGACAGTGACGTCGATTCTATCTCACCCTTCACCCATAAATTAACGGCCTTTCCACGTCGAATAGGGCCGTGACTACTACGTAAAGAGGTACGTTCGTTTCACGTGAAATATACGCGTCCTTGCTGGCTGGGACAGGGCCGTAGAGAGGAATTCGGTGCCCGAGAGGAATGTTTAATGTGGATCTCCTGCCGATTTTTTGATTTCAGTATCATACATCATGCACATGCGATGAAGCTGATTATAATAAGCATATTTACTTTTGAAATAATACGTTATATCCATTTATCAATATAACTTATTCAATTTAAAAAGTACAAAGGGGGAAACTAAAAGTTTTGCAATATGACTTAACAAAAGGTACTGCATGTTGAGACATGTCCATGAGTGCATAGTAGACGCCAGCAGCCCATCTGTTGATTTAGTTGTTCATTCGTATTGACAGTGTAAAATGGCATCGTGAAATAAGGGCAGTTTTACGGTATAACTTTACGCGTGGTTTAAGCATAGACCAGTGCTTAGAAGAAATGACGCTTGCATAACAAAATGATTGTCCTCATCGTACGACTATATTCAGGTGGTGCAGAGAATTCCAAAGGGGCAATTTCATTCTGGCGGACGTTGAGAGGGAAGGAAGGCCGCGAACGTCGGTAACACAGAAAAGCATTACTGCTGTGAGGAAAATGCTTGACGAAGACCGGAGAGTGACATATCAACAGATAGAGGAGACCTTACACCTTCATGCACCATCAGCAATTCATTGAATTCTGCATGACCATTTACACGTAAGGAAACTTTATTCTCTCTGGGTACCGCATAGTCTGACGGAAGAGCAGAATACTTGTCGTACGATTTGGTGCCGAAAGATGCTGACAATGTTTGATAAGGGGCAATCTCGGTATGTGAACAGCATCGTGACAGGTGACGAGACTTGGCTCTGTTATTACGATGTGCCGACCAAGGCCCAAACCAAGTTTGGGTCTTTGCTGATGAGGACACACCCGTAGCTGTCATAAAATCCCGGTCTGTTGAGAAAAAAATGATAGCTGTATTTTTGGTGGTAGACGGAACAGCGCCTGCCTAAAGTCATAGAGTCTATGAAAAACCTGCGGCTAAAGTAACGAATTAAAGACCGACCGATTAATCGGCTTCGCAAATAAGCTTAATGAACTAATTCATGATTTTAAAATAGAAAACAAAATTCATATGGCTGTGTCAGATAATGCAGCAAATATGATCGCAGCTATTCGTATTGCAAAATTTACATCTTTGGGTTGTGTGGCCCATTCATTGCAACTTGTAATTCATGATGCTTTATTTAAACAAGAAATAATCGAAAATGCGATTAAAAAATGGCGCAAAATAGTAGGGCATTTTAAAAGAAGTGGAAGAAGATGATATACCGTTCGTTGATCCAATGTTAGATGGATGGGATGACGATTACGATGAGTTGCTAATAAACTTTAAACCTATGACACGCGTAGATGACGATGATACGTGTGAGCAACAGAAGCGGACTAACGAGGAAGAGGAGGATCAACTTAGGTTGTTCTCCAGCCGTGATGTTATTGACCATAATGTACCACAAGTCATAAATGGTGGTGTCGAGCGCGCTCCCGACGAGCAGCAGCTGATGCGCACAATGTCCCCTTGTGTATCAGTAGGATCTGAGCGCTCCTTTGGTTTCACATACGTAGAGAGTAAAGAGAACAGTGACCAAGGGCCTCCTACTACACGGAGTCACTCTAGTGATCTTCATGTACCTACTGACAGCGAGGATGACAGTGAGGAGGGGTACCCAACTACCTTACATGACATTCCAATACCTGAGAAGTCTTTACGCATACATGCCATCATGGCTCTACGTCGTGAATTGGTACAGCTTATCAGCGAGGCTCGAGGTTTGGCTAATCTGATCAAACCACCGATATCAATGGATAGGTGGGATACAGAATGTATGGGGCATAAGAACACCCAACGTCTACTACGAGCAATGCAATACCGTTCACCGGAAAAACAAAGCATTGTTAGACTAACGCTATGAAAGAAATGGTTCCATAACCTTGTTCAAAGAATGAGGATTGAATATGAGGACCAGCAAATTGTAGTAGCGCCTACCCAACATGTGAGAAGATATGTCCACGATCTAGTAACAGATGTACGTGGATATAGTGGTGAGAGGACCTTTCGAGATCTGATGTTTATGCTATTTGGAACGGAGTTACATGAGATAGCTATAGCTAAATTAAATCTCATATGCTCTGATGAATATGCAAAATATTCGAGAACTCGTGTATTTAGAAGTTTCCTACAATATGCGAAGGCGTCAGCTTTGACGTCACACGAGTTCGTAACTTATGTATATAAGTTACAGTCCAGGGCAACATCACAAGCGGTATGCATATGCAAGGAAGTATTACCGCACACCACACACTGGAAGTACCATGAGTGTCGCCTACAAATTTGGATGTTAGAGGCGGCTTTAACAAAGCGTGAGGGACAGAGTGTCTCTCCCAACCCACACTTTGAGTGGGAGGTACTTATAACAAGATATGACGATTATGGCGCTCCAGCTTGTCTGGAGCTAACTTCAGCGAGTACCACCAGCCTATCAGGCTCAAGTGGTATCTAAGCACCGAGGCGTGACCAAGCCCCTCAACATAGTTTGGCATCTGAGACAGTTTCAAGAAACCTGTAATTTGCCAAAGCATTTGTTAATTCAGGATGTAGAAACAAGATGGAATAGCACTTATCTAATGTTAGAGCGATTATTCGAACAGAAAATTGCAATAAACTTTTGGCTGAACGTGGTAGCATTGAAGTCCCCAGTGCAGTTTAAAGGGAACTAACAAAAATATAATTTCAGTTTTGACATGCTTTTACCAAGGAAAGCAAGATCTTTCAGCCGACTCTGCTTGTGTATCGCTACTAATTCCGCTGATAACAATGCTAAATGCTAAACTATGCACCGAACAACATGAATCTGAGGAGATATGTTCTTTAAAGTTACAAGTGAATCATTAAATAAAAGATTCGCCTATATTCAAAACTTTCCAGAATTATTAATTGCGACTCTTCTGGATCCTCGGTTTAAGACTAAGTATTTGACAAAAGAACAGGTAGTTACATGGAAAGCTAAAATTGTATAATTTTTGAACAAATCAACCCCCAGCAGCTCTAATCCTTCAAGTAATTCAAGTTCAATTATAGTTTCCGCTAATATAGTTTCAACTCCATCATCATTAGAATGCATAAAAACTGTAGGTGTAGAAAAGAATAATCTTTGGGATACACATGATACTAATCTTGCAGTCGTTCCAACCACGATAGCAGAAACACCTTATGTAGATTACTTAGATTTCTATTTACGAGAACCGTTGCTTTTAAGAAGTGGTGACATATTCCATTATCGGGAATCAAGTCCCTATCTTCCTTTAAAGATTGCAGCTTAGAAGTTCTTATCGGCCCCCCCAACAGGTATAGCTAGCGAACAATTATTCAGTTCTGCTGGACAACTTTATGCTGATCGAAGGTCCAATTTACTAGGGGAAAATGCTGACAAACTACTTTTTCTCACCTATAATGTTTATAGAATGTTGAATTTTGAATAATTAATTTTAAAATTTTAAATCTTAGTTATTTGTTATTTTTTTCCTAATAAAGGATATTGTTTTAGTTTTACCATGTTTTATGATTTTTTGGTACTTTTTAGTTATTTTATTATGTTTTAGATTATATTATATAGTTCAACAGAATAAAAATATTAAAAATGTAGTAATATATAAATATTTTAAATATATTAATATTATGAATTATGGTTAGTTTTATATTTTTTTAACCATCTTCGGCTTCGGTTTAGGCCGAAGATGATCCGCAGACCGAAGTTCGGCTTCAGCTTCGGCCAAAAAATCGCCTTCGGTCGATCTCTATCAAGAATGGACACTTGTTACCTCCACCATGACAACGCTGCAGCTCATCGCGCCAAATTCTGCAGTGAGTATTTGTCCACTACTGGACTGAAACTATTTGAGCACTCTCCTTACAGTCCAGATCTTGCTCCCTGAGACTTTGCACTGTTTCCGCGTGTGAAAATGAAGCCAAAAGTAAAACGGTTTTATAGCGATGAGGACCTGAGGGCTTGGGACGAGTGTGCCGCTCTCCCGGGTGAAACTTGGCAGAGCTGGTTTAAGGACTGGTTTCGGCGGATAAAGATATTGAATGTGTGAATGAAGTCAATAAATAAAGCTGTATTGCAAAACTTTTATAGTACCCTTTGTATTATATCTAAGTTAATTCAAGTATAGACCTGTCGAATATCATTGCCATGTCATTGAATGATTAGATTATCAGTACACTCTGGGCCGTCTTAAGCTATGTGGGAGCCCTGGGCACAGATGAAGTTTGGGGCCTGCAGCAGATGGGGATTGATATATATATATATATATATATATATATATATACCAAATTTGTCGAGTCCAAATTTTTTGCATCATCACACAATCGATTTAACAATTTCCCTAAAAACTTAATATAATTACATTTTTTGAGATTATATCGATTTCACTCTGAGCAGTGAGCCTCTCTGAGAACTGGGGGTGACGATACGATACGATATTCCCCTCTCGTTGGGCCGGTGTACAAATCTAAAGTTTTGAACAATAACAACTTTAACTTGCTGTACAAAAAATATAAATATATATATAAATGTCGCGCTCTAGATACGAGCTACCCTGTACAGTTTATTCTCCGATGAATTACCGGAAAAAATCTATCAACTATATTTAAAAACTTACCCTAAAATACTCTCGGAATTGGGAAAGTTTTGCTAGAATATTATAGAACTACCACAGCATGAAAGTGTCCAATATAATGAATAGCATTCTTATACACCTGATAGGTGATAGGTAAAATTGCATATGGCGGATAAGCGCAAAATAAAAAAAGTAGATATTTATCCTGACTATGGCACCGTTGAGACACCAGCCAACTTTATCATGACAATCAATGTCTGAACACTTATATGTCGTGGTAGATACCATTACTATGTTACATGTGCAAATGTATGCTAGCAAGCTACCTGCTTCTAGCTACCTGTTCATTTAAAGATGTGAATGAAACTGCTATGGTTACATTCCCCTTACTAGCGAAATATAATCATGGAATCAGTATCCTGGCAAATGCCACTGGCACATTAACACCTTTAATTTCATAACCAAATCGAGGCAGCGTTGCCTCATCAACAGTTATAAGGCTAGTTACCCAGACCTTGGAGAACAAATCTATTGACATTTGTAAGCTAACTTCAGCAAGTTAACTTGCGATTGAAAACCGAGCTTTATCGAGTGCAAAGTTACTTATCTAGTCGAAACATGTTTCCACATTTGCGAATTTGGCTTTGTACTGCAATTATTTTTTACAGGGCTTCAACAAAAATAACTGTTTAACAATCAGTGATAACTATAATTTATACTTACTGAAATATTTGTCATGCAAAAAGAGTCATAACACTATCAAAGCATTGGATTCAAATAAATTGTGTGTTCTACAACCTTCCAAACACAAATATCAAATGATAGCAGAATATGTGAAAAATTAAGCCATAATGACATAATATTTACATGAAAAACGCTCATGTTGGAGATAGGGCATAACCTGCCACTAACTATTAAATTGCAAACCGACAACCGATCATAGAGATCATATACTAGGAGAATTGACGTCCAATGCTATTTCGCAGTAAAACGAATCTTTATTTTAAAGACGTCAACATCACGGACAAATTTACCTCTGGAGAAATAGTAGTAGAAAATGCAGCATTAAAAATTGCAAATGTGGCAAAAATTTGGGATGCGAAGAAAGCAAGCTGATACAACCGCGATCGTTGCGCCATATCGGCTCGCGCTGAAACAAAAATCAGGCGCAATTTTCAGATTCATCAACTAACTGAATGTGCACTCACAAAATCAGATGAATTTAAGGTTTCCTTTTACGTCACGCAACGTCTCTGGCGTTATTTCTGTCCTCGGCAGCAGCCGCAGCGGCCGCAGCAGCGGCATCTCTTTCCTTGAAGAACCCCTTTTCGGTCTTGCACTCTCGAATTGTAACGGTTTTTAGGTTAACCGTTACGTCGGTGATGAAAACCTGTAAATATTTCAATAAACGTTGGTGTTTTTACCTGGACAACGCTTCAATTATGCAGAAATTTTGGACAAAGCACTTTACAAGATCATTAGGGCCGAATACATCGTCGCTTCTTGAGCCTCCTCAGTTGACTGGAAGGCTCGCAAGTTCGAATCTCTGCTTTATAGGTCAATTTAGTGCCTTCGATATTGTGTACTCTATATTACGCGCCAGATCAGTACAAGATCAATGTAGGTACACCGCATCACTGGAGCTGGTTGATTTAGTTGATAGCTTGTGGAGTAAAACAGTGTTGGTACTAGGTGGTAAGCAAAAAGGATCAAAGGTGGACTCGTTCTAAACAAATTAGCTGTTATCAAGTACAAAATGAATCTCTACCGAAAAAAAATCAAACCAAATATGACTCTGTCTACCTAGCATTGACGAATCCGTCAGAATTATGTGTCCTTTGCCGATATGAGGAATTTTAAAATACTACTAAATAACCAGCTGTCATTCAAGTAGGTTGACTCTGCACTTCCTAGGTTGTCATCTGATCGAAAACGATTATGTTCGGCCCAAGTAAGTTTCTTCCCAGTCAAACATGCCATAAGCGCCAGCCAATATATCTCGAGATCGAGGCCTCGGCCATCTTTGTGCCGGCGTTGCCGGGTATGTAAATATTTCTGTAAGCTTTACGAGCAGATGTACCGGGAAACCTTTGATGTGTTAACTTTGTACTGATCTACTGATAGGTGCGTACAATTATGGGAGTTGGAAGTGTAGAAACATTCTGCCGCAAAGAAAGAAATATACCACCCTCCTCCACACCTTACGACACCTAATGCCAGAATTTAAATCTCTCCAATTTTTTTGGTGAAAATGATGAGGAGCCTCGTAAACGTCAAAAAACCAGGTTTGAATGGTTTTCATTTTCTTGTGTTTTTGCTCCTAGCTCCGCCGTCATTGGACCGATTTTCAAAAACTGTAAAGCTTTTTCGTCTTTGGCAGCAGCAGTTGTGCGAAAAGTTCATAGAAATCCGAGCGGTACTTTCCAAGTTGATTCGCCCAGTAGAGAGAGTAAAATGAGTCAGTTTTCTATGTAATTGGCTGCTTGATGTAGAATGTTTTCCACCGACCATTGACTAACATAATCTAGATGACGACAGCTAACCTAATGCTATATTCCTGCGTCCAGAAGATTATTTAGAATAAAATAAGATACCGTCGTGTCATCTACGAGGATTTGTCACAGCTGTTTACTATTTAGTATATATATTTTGAAAATGTTAGTGTCTCATAGATATCACTGTCTATATGAGCATATACAAGCATCTTGTTGAGAAAACGAGTTCAATAAGGAAGCTGTGAAGTTAACGACTATGCAAGTCTGAAAAATCGAACAAGACCACATTCTTCCTTGAAAAAGATATTTGACAACTGCCCTGTCAGCCGCATTTCTCAAGAATGTCAAAATAAATAAGGAATCATCAAAATAGAGAGGCCTTGAAGACTTTTCACATCTTCGTGTCAATGGTTTAACAATAGAATAGGCAGCCCCCATAAACTATCTTAGAGCTAACATCAACAACCAGTGTAATCCTAAAAGTTATATTTTCAAAGATCGACAGAGTAAGGCATCAAGTCATTTTTTTACAAGACCACATCCTCTAAGAGTGGCGAGCACCAACCTAGAAGATTCAAAACTAAGGTAGTTTGTTGTTGTAAGCACATGAAATTCGTGAAATTGATTCTGTATGTGAAGACAGCAAAGTTGTATAGCTTCAGTATTAATAATATTATTTTCATGATTCGAACAGAGAACTCCTAAAGTCGCCAATTTCAGCAATATGTTAATTTAGTTTTGAATTAGTTTGCGCCTAAAGCTTAAAATTCGAAGTGTCAGATCTTTCACTTTAGGATTTCAAAAGTTGGACAATGGACACGTAAACAGACAAGAGAATAGTTATCAACGAGTTCTCTAACATATGGGTAATCAAAAAAAAGCTTCCACACCATCAAAGAAAGGAAAATTCATTACTTAGGCCATGTGTCAAGAGGTGAACGATAGAAATTAATTTCTCTCATAACAGAGGGTAAATACATGACAAAAGTTCAGTTGGAAGACGCCAGAACTCATGGATAAAGGGCATGAAGGTGGTTCGACCATTCAACCACAGAAATGTTTTATGATGTTTTCAAAACTACAAAAGCAATCTGCATCATCAACTTGAGGAAGGAGGAACATTCGGTCCTTAGGAACCATATTGATGCAACACATTTATAGTAATTACCTGATCAGCTACTGGATTCCTTGCTAGCCAATATTCTGAACCAGGACTAGCCAGAACTGGAGGTGATGGCACTTGGTGGTGTTCATTATTGTTATCATAATGATGATGATGACCATTTACTGGTTTGACATCATCAGGCCTTACATCTATAAAAGATCAATTGTTTACACAAAATGGTTAGGCACACCCAATTGTGGTTAAAAGCAAAGATACCAACATCGAATATTCATAATCGAAACGTGCTCGTCCTATTGAGATACTTTGTGAATATTATTTATAAAACAGAACAGATCATGAAAATTTTAATTTCATAATGGATTTTTGCAAAAACAAAACGTAGACACATGAAAAAATTGGTTTTGCTATAGATAAAACTTGAAATTTTGTTATTTTCTACCCAGTTTCACTAAAGGTAACTATACTTGAAATTATTATGCATCAAACATACTGACACTAACCTTTATCTCCCGTTAATACCTTCTTCACCCCCTCCTCCCCCTCGGAAGCAGCCGTCCTCCTGGGCGACGCCGGTTCTCTGGTTACTGCATGTGGCAACGTCGCATCCACGCTGGCGCAACGTTGCTTGTCGCCTAGAGAAGAAGTTCGAGGGGCGGCCGGAGCACCGGCTGTCAAAACGGCTGGAGGGGATGCTGAGGGGATGGACGGGGCGGTGGTTGATGACGTGCACGTGGGAGGTGCCACTGGGGGTAATGACAGTTTGCTCATCTGAAAGAAAAAAAATATGTACAGTAGCGGACAACAGTTTGGAAACAAATATTAACGTTATTATGAACTATTTCATCTACCTGAATTAAAATTGCGAAGGAACAGATAATATAAATATTAAAGTCTACCTTGGGTTCTCGTACTAATGCAAGGTTTATCTTATCAATATTCAAATTCTCTGAAAATCAAACACGTTTTGTTTTTTTTTAAATACCACAGATTTTGTAACGACAAAAGTATGGAAACATTTCAGTTTTGCCGTATTTATTCGTTATGCGATACTGATGTTGCGTGCGGTAAATATTAAACATAAGTGAGAATGGCAAAAGTAAAAGAACTTTCAAAAGATTTAAGAAACAAAACAATTGAATTATTTAGAAGTCGTATCAGAAATGTTGACCTTTCTCAAAGATTAAAAATGAACAAAGGGGCGATTTAAAAAATTATTAGTAACAGAAAAAAACCGATTATGTTTTGGATCGCTAAATTATCCGTTTGTCCCATGAAGATCCTCGAATGCCAGCCACACAGATTTTCAAAAGAATCGTAGAAGAGGGTGCCGAGAATCTTTCTGTCAGAACAGTGCAGAGACGCTTGGTGGATTTTGGAACTTGGAGAGAACAACATTGGAATACAGTTTTATGGAGCGATGAAGGCAAATTTAACTTGTTTGGATCTGACGGTACGGCATATGTGAGACGTCCAGTAAGAAAAAGATTTGACAAAAAGGAGCAGTTGCCAACTGTTAAGCATGGTGGAGTCGACATCATGGTTTGGGGCTGTTTTTCTAGTTCTGGAACAGGTCCAATTGTTAAAATTGTTGGGAAAATGTATCAAAAACAAAGATATTCTTAGTGAACACATGCTGAAGAAGAAATGCCTTTACGATGGACAATCCATCAAGATAATGACCTCAAGCATATCTCAAAATTCGTAAAGGACTTGTTAAGACTAAAAAATGTCAATGTTCTTAAGAAAAACTTAAAAAATAGAACGATTTATTTGATTTTGCGAAAAATATCTGGCAAATATCAGCTAAAGAGTATTTTTTAAATCTTTTTGTAGAGTTATTGTATTTAATTTTGAAACAAAAAAGTTTCCATACTTTTGTCGTCTCATTTTCGGTCATAAAATAATATGAAGGTATTTTAATGCTAGTCTGTAGTACCACAGCAAACACATATTGTCTTTTGTATCCTCAAAACTGTAAGCAAACTATATGAGAAAAAAAGTTCTCAATAATAAAGAATAAAAAATATGCACACTCTTTAAAAACTATTAAGAATGTTTGGGAACTTTTCTCTGCTACTGTATAGTCCTTTTCACGGTTTTTGGCGGTTACGTCATCAATACTTTCGAAATAAGTAAACGAATCGACTATAAAATCATGTGTGGAGCTGAAGCTCCATAGGAAAATTGCAGTCTGGACAAACCAATCTAAAATGCTGCTGCTTTTGCACACATGAATTGGTTGATAAACCACTACTGCACATAGTTGATAGTTTTGGAACAGTAAGACACAAACAGAAATAAACTATCTACTTCTAATGACAGCAACTATAGAGAGAAATAGATTTTAATAGATTACCTTCGTAGGTGGAGATATAGATCGATCAGTCTTTTTCGCATGAGACTCCGCCTCTTGATGTTGAGATCCTGCCCCTTGTTGACCACTCGTCGTTATGGTCACGCCTATTTTTCCACTTTCTTTACTAAGCACTTCCGCTTTCCTCTTCGTGCCTGTGCTCTGTGTCTAGGTAGTTTGAAAAAACACTAAATAAGCTGCCAAATTATGTTTAAACAAATAAAAAAAAAGATATAAGAAGAAAGCAAATTGTTTAAATAGTTTTTTTTTAGCTATATATAGTATAATAAAGACTTCATGCACAATTATATTATACCTCTGAGATTCTTTGTAACAACGGCCTCTGATCTGATGAATTACTTGACGAATCATGGTCAACAGTATTTGTAGTAGATGGTGCTGATTCATTTACAGTCTGGTGGTGAGCAGATCCAGAAGTAGCAGCAGGTGTGGGTGTGTTATTGTCTGTAGTCTCCTCAGTACCTGTAAGAAATTACCTTGAATGAATGAATGAAGGAACCGTGAAATTACAGGCATTCCAGCCACCATAAGCAGCCAGTTCATAGGCCGCTTAAATCGGAAAGGGCACCTCTACATTCCTTACATGACACGCCTCGCCTTTTTAGCCAAGTTAAGTATGGCCTCGAGTCCAAGCTCCTTGACGTCCTGGGGGTCCAAAGCAATGGACCCCAGTATAGTTTGCCTACAGTAGCTCAGAGCTTCACAGCGACACAGAACGTGCGTCGAGGTCTCTTCCTCTACCCCGCAGCGCTCACACAAGGGATCCTCAGCCAACCCCATCACGTGCAGGTGGAGCGTTAACGTGTTATGGCCAGACAATAGTCCCACCAGTAACCTTAGTTCGCTCTGTACAGAGATAAGCAGAAACGTCCATCATTAGCACTGGGCCCTTCAATGAGTTCCAGTGCCTGGCGGAGATGTCTGAAGATACTGCTCCATTTCTGAGAGCGTTATCTTGCAATCCGCGTTTCCATCGGTGACCGAACCGTAAGTGTACCAGACCTGCCCGCTCACTCCAGATGTCAGCGTCTCACTCCTCCCTCGTTGGATACACCACATTAAACTTGCGGTTGAAGGGATATTCAGGGGTAACAAGATCACCCCTACTTAGAAGGACGAGGACCTCCCTTTGTAATTTGACTAAGATGGCAGTATGCCCCTTGACAGGATTCAATAAGGCCCAGCTTCTCTGACTCTACAGTCAATGAGCAACTACTCAATGGCGTTGTTCGAACTACGCTTGTAATGCTAATAAAGGCCAAACGCTGAATTTCATTGAGTTCGGCATTAGTTGTCTCAGTTCTAATGCAAGGCCATCAGACCAGGAAGCCCTACAAGAGAGATGGCGTACTATCGTCGTAAGAAGTTATCTAAATTCTTGAAATAATCCAGTAAATGTAGATATTATCTGCATAAATTACTTCCAGTTAAAAAGTTATATGGCGGAGTTAAGCTACAGATACTTGTGTTTTACATTTGATATTTTCCAGTGTTTTTCAGTTATTCAAGTCTTTAATCACTTTATATTCATTATTTTTACTCAAACATGATCCATAATTTCCATTTTTTTGTTCAAGTGTTTTGTTAGTCATTGTGGACACACACTTACCCAGTGATTAGGCATCTTTAGCAATGATGTCCAAACAGTTTCAACTGTTAAAACCAGCTAAACAAATGAATAGTCAAAAAGTGTCAATCAGCTTGATGTGTCAAACTGAATTAGTTAACTGTTTCCAACTGTCCACAAACATCAGAAATTTATTGGAATAGGCCTATTCTCTTGCTGATTTTTTTTTTTTTATACTCCAACTACCACGAATGCCTAAGGCCTAAGCACCCATTGGGTACCGTGGGGCTATAGGGGGATACATGGGAAAAGGGGGGACGCCACACGGACTCTGGCGAGGGAACACGTGTGCATGCAACATGCACACATTCTAGCTCCGTCTACGAGAACCGCCGGGTGGTACCTCCGCGTTCGACAGTCAGAGACCATCTACCACCTACGGACAATCACAACATCCATAGCCAAGAGAAAAATTTCTCCTGGGACGGGACTCGAACCCGCACAGCGCACGGCGACTGATCAGGAGACCGAAGAGTCTACTACTGCGGCCACCGCTGCTGCCTAAAACAAACACACAACATCCACGGCGAAGGCGAGATTCGAACTCGCGGCCCGGCCGGCCGGCTGATCAGTAGCACGACACTCTGACCCACGCGGCCAACTGAGGTCCCAGATATGGAATGTTGGCCACAAAATGTTTTCAGGCACAAAAGGCTCATAGACTAGGCTTTTGCTTAAGCTTTGCCGACAAGAATAATGTCACCAAATTGAGAAATAGTGTAGAATTTGAAAATGGGAGTAAATATTTCTTTTATTTGGGCAAGAAATACTAAATTTTTTCTGTCAAACTAACTAATTTGCCAAAATATATTATTTAGAACACACTTGTGTTCAGGCTGTATCATATTTTCATCAAGTTATTGTCTGTCTCATGTGGATTCTGATAAAACTTTAGCTTAAGATACCTTAATGATAATGTAAAATGAAACCTATAAAGACAAAAACATTTTTAAGGTTTATTCTGCTAAATGCTTACCAGCCCTAGTATCATCATCCTCCACCTCAACTCCACCTTCTTTCCCCTCCTTTTTCTCATCATCCTTCCCACTTTTAATTTCATCACCACCGCCACCTTCATCCTGACTTTCATCACCACCCCCTGCATCATCAGCGGCTGCTGCGTGTTTCTCCCCCCTCTTTCTGGGGCCACGCCTACCATCACTGGCGCCGCCCCTTTGCTGGCCGCGCTCGTACAGGTCAATCAGTCGGACATCCAGGATGTTCTCCTCTGGCTCCCATGTGTTGTGCTTCTGGCTCCAGCCTTTCCATTTCACCAGGTACTCAGTTACCCCCTGGAAGAAATGAGTTTTTTAACATGAATGGTGTATTTCTATTTCGCTTTTACTCTATTGGCACGCAGGGTGCATGCTCTGAGCCCCAGCTTAATCAGAAACACCAAAAGTCTCATCAAACAATGTTTAAAAAAAATCTAAGTATCCTTCTACCTTCTCATTCTTTAATTGTGCCCAGTGACAAAGAAGAGCCCCAGATTCCACTGAGCCATTGGGTTGCTTTAACCACAAACTCCAAGCTTGTGTACCCAGGGGCCGATATCTGCTTAAGACAGCTTTAGTGCATTTCTTAACTTTGGCTAAACACTTTGGTAGCTGTCAGGCAAGTATATTAGTTTCTGACTTACACACTTGTATGTGTCTTTGTGCTCCACTACATCATGGTGTACATAAGAACTGCAGCTTTAATGTTTCAGAACTATCAGAGAGAACCCTTTTAATATATATTATCTACTGCCATAAAAGTTTCAATAAGGGAAATGGCATATTATTTGCTAGAGGATAATGGATATTATGTGTTTGTAGTACAAGGACCCAATTCTTAACTACAGAGAAATTGTTCTCATGGAATGATGTGTCAATTTGACATCTTGTTGAGTGGTTACTTGTTGAGCTGACAATCAAAAACTGCTCTATTTCCCAATGAGAAAATTTTCCCAGGATTGGAAAACTGATTAAAAGTCTCCATAGATACGTACTTTGATCAAAAGTTTAAGTTGAGGAACAATGTAGCCAAGATAATGTGTTGTCTCAACTTGTCAAACATGTAACATGCAGTGTCTCATACAATAATAGAAATCCTAGTACTCTCTCTGTTAAAACAGAGTATCACCAGAGGCAACAGCCTGTCAAAAATCAGGTATGGTATGTTGCACTCCCCAAGATTTTGTTCACTGTCACTGTGACACATTTAATAATTTTGAAAAGGTAGGTCACATAATAAAAAATGTGATGTGTTTGCGTGTGTTTACCAAGAAATCATCAAATGCAAGTTTTTTTTATGGGAACTTAATTTTTTTTGGGAGCATAACCATTGATTTTTCATTTGCCCCCTTTGGGTAAAAATTCTGTAGGTGCATATGGTATCATGCAGAATAGTTATGTAGGTAGTGACACAAAAATCAAAGGACTTGATACTAGATGTTGCCTCTATTATGTAATATGTGCTTAAAATGTATTCTAAATCTGGAACCTAGTTTTATCAATCACACAAAATATTTTAAAACTGACCATGTATAAAGGAATGAAAGACAAATTGGAAATTGAATATGATAAGTGATTATATGGTTTAAAATGTGTTCCATTGTGCAAATATGACTAAGATTATACAGCAATTCTTCCAGATTTTTTTATGAACTATTAAGAATGTGATATATAGTCCAACTATTTAAAATGCTAAGTATCACCAATTCAATTAGCATTATGTATATTACTGAGAAATAGTAACTGATATTGGTTCAGTTTTGCCACTTATTCAAAATTTCTAAAATTCTAGAGATGGTCATAAGAACATTATCTTTGGCACGAAGCAGACAATGTTAAGCCGAGAAATTAAAAACGTACACAGTAAAAGAAAAAAAGTCATTTTCACACAAAGGGCACGTAAAAATGTGAAAGTACATTTCAGTAGTTGTTTTACTGCTGGTAAACAAACGAGTACCTGAAATACCATCTTTCCCAATCGAAGTATCATTTTGTAACAGTCCAAAGACAAATGTAATTCTCTTTTAATAACTAAAATAGTATCTTAAATGTTTCAAAATTATTGCAATACCTTTCGATTCCTCTTCTTAATGATCCTTTCTGCGGCATAAACACGATCACCCAGCTCCATTGTTTTTCCGTTTATGGTACGCAACCAGTCACAAAATATCACTAGATTTACTCAGTAGTCCTATATACCACTCAAAACAAAGCAGTATGCAGCTCAATCTAAATATTTAACACAAAAATGCCAATGAATAAGTAGCAGATTCATAAAAATTCCGAAAATTTCTTGGTTCTTATATACCGCAACTACATCATGGCACCATGTTTTGCTTCACTTAAGGAAGGATTAGGGAAATTCAAAAATTTGTGTTGTATACCTGATTTGACAGGTATATCAGCGTTCACGATTTCGATACGAAACGAATCTATCATAGACAACGTTCAAAATTGACAGCTTTTATGCTTATAACCTTACTTTTTGCAATCAAAACAAAATCAACATAAAACGCCGATCATGGTAAGATTTTTTGAAATTATATTTATTATTTGTTAAAGTTTTATTTTTTAGCTCTTCTACTCATTTTTCAAGTCGCTGGTTGGGAAAGACGTTGTAGTGGAGTTAAAAAATGATCTGAGGTAGGTTTTTACTACTACTAAACATTATTATGGTATAAGCGTCTGTTTATGATTTTCCTAATTTTTAGTATATGTGGAACGTTACATTCGGTTGATCAGTATTTAAACATAAAACTGTCGGATATCAGTGTGACAGATACTGATAAATACCCTCATATGGTAAGAAACATATATAAGAGTTTTATGCAAGGTGTAATGTTTGGATTATTTTGTAGTTGTCTGTGAAGAATTGCTTCATCAGAGGATCTGTTGTTCGATATGTACAGCTACCTGCAGATGAAGTTGATACACAACTATTACAAGATGCAGCAAGGAAAGAAGCTACAGCTCCAACACGATAAGATCAAAACACCAAAATAATTTGTGCAAAATGCTGATTTTGCACCAACTGTATCACTAAGACTACTGAGGGAGGATGACATTTAAGAAATAATATTAGGTTGTATGTATGCATTAAAATAAAACTACTTTTCCAACACGTTTTTTCAAATTACCTAATCCTGAACCACCTAATTAACGATATTCGACTGCCTAAAGCAGAACATTAGCTACAGATGCATACAGATTTGTTTACAACATAACTTTGCTGTTTATTTAATATTCATTCATTATGTAGTTATGGCGGGACCGTCAGACCGCCTGAAATCCACACCCACACCAAAATAACCGTGAAACTCATAAGCGAATGGGAAACAAAGCAGTGTTGCGGGTGCACAATATGACAACCATGACGCACCCCAAAAAATGGCGGCTTAATCACAACTGACGTTGTCAGATTTTCAGGTTTCTCCCTGTGGCTGTGCTTTGCAAAAATAACCTTACTTTTTCCGCAAGTAGGGATAGTGGTATCGGTTGGAGGGTATCGATATCTAATAGAGAATTCGTTCAGGTGCAGTACTTGGTCAATTGTCGGTGCACAAAAACAAAAATACCCAGACGTCGAAGAAGCTTATGGTCGTCTACGCCTAGGTCTTCCAACTGCAGCAATTCTTACAATTTGGAATATATGCACGAAAAATCCAGCTGTACTGGTTAATTGTGACGTTGTATCGTCTCATATGTTTGTAATAAATAAATGCTAGAATATCAATCGATGTATGGAGTGGTCCTAGTGCAATTTATTTCGATTTAATACAGAAAATTAGGTAACAATACAAACTCGTAGTTTAACATTAAAAAAAATATATGTGTAGAATCATTGAAACCAATCATTTTCTCCAATAGTAGAGAGAAATATCAATTTGTTTAGTCTTTTGCCCAAGAGCCGATTTCTAGTCTCGCTTACTATAAAACTTGCCTTGGTGAAGAGACGCTCTGCCGGAACAGAAGTAGCCACTACTGTAACGAACATCAAGGCTAATTTATACAACTGAGGGTAAATAGCTTTCATCTTTGTCCATTCTTCTAAAGGGTCACTGGATAAGGGTGCCAACGAATGTTTAAGGTATGATTGTAGTTCTTCTTTAACACCTTCAGAAGGTTTTGGTTGGCGGCTTCTATTTTCAAGTAATGTTTTATGATGGTTCCAAAAATCATTTGCGACTTTTTCTTCTATTTGTTCAGTATATGTTGCCGGATGCTGATGACGATTTTCTTTTTTCATCATTTCTTTAATGGCTGCAAATGCATTTGCAAGTGCCCTAGGTTCCTTGAAATGTACGTTTTTAAATCGTGGATCCAAAATAGTTGCCATCGCTATAATTGAATAGAATTCTATTTTTCCAAATCTTTTTTTTGAGTTCTGCCACTAATTGCTGTTTGGCTTCAAGAACTATGTCGGTATCTAAATTTATTGTTTCGATATTATTCATTAAACAATTTATCAGTGGAATAACTTTCGATATGGTTACGAAACCTTCACCTGATAGCTCATTTGTTATAAATTCCAGACGTTTTAATAGCAATATGATTTCTTTTATTTGCACCATCTCTACTGCGTTCACCATTATGGGGGCATTTGATGCAAACAAAAGCAAATCGTTAAGTATGCCCGCTAGTTCTTTAAAACGAATTAACATGTGATACGTAGAGTTCCACCGGGTTTTTACATCTAAAATCAACTTTTTGGGAATTCCTGAAGATTCACCAGCATTTATTTGCAATTTTCTAAGTTCATCGCTCTGGTTGACGCTATTTTTTACCCATTTGACAATTTCCCGTACTTTTTCTATTACCGCGGAAATATGGTGGTGATGTATGTGTTGTTCTTGTTCATCTTTATTTGGCTTTGGCTTTAAAATAATATCAGTTACCAGGTTTATTAAATGAGCAAAGCATGAAATATGCCGATCTTTCCCAAAAGTTTGGTGCATGGCACTTACCATGTTAGCGCCACTATCCGTTATAAATGCTACCACTTTTTCTTCAGCAATGTTCCATTTATTTAGAAGTTCCTTCATCTGGGCACCAACATAGCTGCCAGTATGGCGCTCATTTAATTCATGCACCTCGATAGATGTTGAACATAGTTTATTATCCATCATATAATGTACAGTTACTCCTAAAAAGCTTCGACAAGTCATCATCTCAGACCAAATGTCGCATGTTACCGAAAAATGAGAAATTCCGGAAAAAACTTTCTTGTAAACTTCGGATATGGCTTCGTATTTCATATCCAGTGCATTTTTAATCGTGGACACATGCGGAATGGTATAAAGAGGCGCCACTTCTTTTCATTAATCGGCGAAATCCTTTACCTTCAAGGCTATAAAACGGTCTATGATCTTTACATATGAAATATAAAATTGCGTTTAACATTTTGGCATTTTGGCTTCCACCCTCTTTATAAGATTGAATGGTTTTAAATGCCCTGTGTATTGGGCCACAAAAAAGGAAGCTTCGCTTGAAGATATTTCAATAGCTTCTGAATCTAATCTTTGGTTGGAGCTGCTTGACTGAATTTTTAACTCATTGCTGGGAGCAGTAGGAGTATCAGTAGCTTCTTTTTCTGGATCACTACTGAAAAAAAAATCTTCTAGACTTCTTTAATTAAGTATCCCGTTTACAAGTTCAATTAAAACTGTTTAGAAGCTTTCGACAATTCCAAAAATGCCATTTCAGCATAGTAGTGTCCTACGTGTTTGTAATTATATAAAGGGGCGTTCAGTGTGATAATGATGACATGCACTATACATAGAGACTTGTAGATACACAATATACAACACAGCACACACAGCCACACATTCCTCTTTTTTATCGGGCAAACTTACCTTGTAGTTTTTGACGAACTAGCTTTTGGGGTTCTATTGATATTGCTGTCACCATCTTTTTTGAGATGCTTGTGTAATTTTAGATGTTTAGCCATGTTTGTGGTATTGCCAGATGTTTTAATCTCTTTCAAACACGTTTTGCACACAACTAAATTCACACCTTTTTTTGAAAAAAAAATCCAAAGGTTACTTTTTGTTGGAACCATTTTTTAACAATTTTTATGATGCAACGTATTTTACTCGTTTCGTTATGAACCGAATTTATACCGCTATTAAGTAAAGTAGAATCACCGATCACCGAATCAGTAAACTGTAAACTAAATAAAAATAATCTAAGAAATGCGAATGGTTGGAAGGCAATGAAATTTAACTCATTCCCATAACATTTTTGTTTGCTTGCAAGAAATCTGAAATCATATCATATATGTCATAACATAATGGTCAGGGTCACCTAATAAATTTGATTCAAAACAAATAAATTTGATTAAAAACAAAGAACAGAGCTGTTGCCGCCGATCGACGATAAGATAACGTCGGCATATTTATCGCCTCGCCTCGCCAAATGTTTATTTCCTTTCTTATTTCTGCCGATGCGATATTTCCTTCTAAGAATCGATACCTAAAAAATATCGCAATGTTAATATCGATGTAAAGTATCGATATTCTCTTACCGATATATCGATACTCTGATGGTATCGTGTATCGATACCACAACCCTATCCGCAAGCCATTTTCGTTGTGCGTCATAAACATTTTATTTTGATTAAATAAAGTCCCTATTATGTTATTTGAGGTATATGCCTTTTGTTCAGAGTTGTGAAGTATAAAAATGTAAGTACCCAAAGCTGTAATATATTTGTAAATACTATGAGACAAACTCCAAATCAAAACTGAGATCAGAGATGCAGCGGTTACTCAGTTGAGGAGAGTTTGAAGATCATACCTGTTGGAATCTCCACATAAATTTTTGAACAGTGGAGCACTACGAAAAGTTCAGCTGCCGGTGTCAACCCCTGAGGTCCTGAGAGTTATCAGAAGCTCGGAGATTACTTGTGATCTAACCAGAAGGCACAGCTCTGGAAGATATTTGCAGACCATAACATTTGTAAGTTTTTATATGACTCAATAACCAGTGATGATTTATACTGCTTTTTATCCAAAATATTTTCCATACTTCATTTTAAATCATCTATTCTTAGAGCAGGAGGGTTGATATGCAAAGCTTAGTATAATTTCAATGAAATCGAAGCCATATGTTGTTGAACAATAACATGAGTGCCCACAGGGCGGTGTCAGATGAGCCGTGGTCTCTTCTGTGAATCCACTTTGACCTTAAAATTTGCATATTTGGCATGGTTTTGTGTACAAGTTCAGGTACAATTTCACAAAAAGTTATGTCTAGATGATGATCAGCAACCCTGAGAAAAATTCCTGTCGGTGTCCATGGACAATAATATTATTGTTCTAATGAAAAAGAAATCTGAATTGTAGTAACATATCAACACAGTTCAATTTATTCCTAATTTTTGATTTATTCAGGTGCCAACAAAGGCTGGGGAATGAAAACATCTGAACCATAATAATGTTAATACTGATTTGTTTGTAGAAAATTTCATGAGATTTATATAATAAATATATATTTAGGTATTTGCAGTATTATGTTTTTCTTCTGAACCTTTCCAGATTAGTAAGTAGATTTGAGTGATCTTATAACAGCTTGTGTTATTGACGTTGCTATTTTAATATAAGAAAAACCACTTATTCGTCAAGATAGCGCAAAATGTTAATAACACATGCTGTCAGTGCTGCCACGCTTCTACCCACCAATGTCGGTAGATCTCAAAAAATAAATCGGTAGGTTTCGGTTTAAAATCGGTAGATAGCCGGTTGCGCCATAGGCTTCCCCTAGAACGCTTTTAACAGATAAAAAATGAGGTTAAGCAATAAGCAAGCTTTTTCTACGAATTTTTTTTATATATCTAATCAGCAGTTTTTCTTCAATTTTTTTTAGGTATTTGAGCAATGGAAAACAAATACTTTATGAAGCAATGAAAAACAAATACTTTATGAATAAATATATTTTATTCATTACTGATCAGTTTCGGGTATCAGAAGTACACAAAGAATCTAAATATACATTGTTAATGTAATAAAACAAGAACAACAGAACAATATAAGTCGATAATTATTAAGTTGTTTAGTCATTTTCACTCTCTTCAATACCTTTTAGTGTTTTATTATGCATTTTTAAAATAAGTTCTTTGCTTATTTTAAAATTGAAACACTTATTATTACCTAAGTACTGTTTAGTATGTACTAATCCCGTAATTGTCTTTGTATTTAAAGAATTTCTTTGTTTCGTTTTCATTAGGTTAATTTCTGAGAACCTTCTTTCAACATTGGCGGAAGAATGGGGTAAACACAATATATTAAAAGCGAATTGGCTTAAAATTGGAAACAAAGGCGTATCGTCACCTAAGCGATATTCACTTACTTCCTGCCAAAATGTCTCGACTTGATTAGATAATTCTACAATATGGGTATTACGCAAAAGACGCCATTCATTATCAAGTGATTGATGCGCTTCTTCCTTAATTAAGTTTGGAAAAATCCTGGCCACATCTGAAATAGAAGGTATAACTCCTGTTTTGACATTTACGGGATCGAGAAAACTAAACAATTTAATTGGATTATTTTTAAGCGGGAAACGAGTAAGGATTTGATCACAACTTTCAATATAAAACTCTAAACATCTAAGCCTAAAAAAATGTATTTGCTCGCTGGATATTGTAATTTCTGATAATGTTTTTGCCACATTAGCTCCAAAATAAACATTTTCTATTGGTAAGTAATTTCTGGGATTTTTGTAGTCAATATTCTCTAGAGATGTTGATGTTAAATAATCGCGGTTTAAATAACAATCAAACATGGTTTTTAAAACAGTGGATATGTTTTTATATATAACATGTATTCTTGGGCTCTCTGCTTGCATATCCTTATTTAAATTATTGAAAAAAGGCAAAGCAAAATCTAAAAATTGCAAAAATAAGAGAGTAGTAGGGTCGTTTAACCTTTTCAAAATTTGATTCGTAGCTAAAACATCATTTTGGAAAACAGCGTCAGTAAAGTATAATTTTAATGGATTGTATTGTTCTAAAATACGACTTACTACACTTTGAACAGAAAGCCATCTAGTCTGTGATGGGTGCAGAATTTTATGTGTTTTTATGTTACAAAAAGCCTGAAAGTCACGGAATTCTGAAGTTCTTTTTGGGCTAGAATTAAAACAATTATGAATATCCCTCACAAGATCCTCGACAAACCTTGGTATTTTTTGTGAAGCGTAAGAAGCGCAAAGGTGGAATGAATGGCATATGCACTTCATCACAAACAAAAAAGGAATATCTTTCTTTAAAAGTACCATTAATGAATTAGTTTTGCCCATCATGACATTAGCCCCATCCGCAGAAAATCCAATTAAATTATTTTTATACAGAATATTGTTAGTTTTAAAAAGGTCTATAACAACGTTATATAAAGTTTTTGCATCAGCATTTGATAAAGGTAATAGAACAAAAAATTTGTCTTTTATTACATTATTTTTTCGATACCTCACTACGGAACAAAGATGCTTAGTGGTGCTAACATCCGTCGATTCATCTACTATTAATGAGAACTTATTTTTCCTTAGATCTTCGCAAACGTTCAAAAATTCTTCCTGGCCAATTACATTTTTTACAATCGACGTTGTTTTGGTTCTGCTAGAAGCTAAACCACGAGCAATTTCGGAATCAGAACATATATTTTTTATTAGATCAGGCAAATGCTCCATAACGGTAAATGGAAGATTATGTTCAGCTACAAACGCCGCCAGCCGTATCTCAGCTAAAAAATGATGGAATAGAATAAAAAAACCTTGCCACAATTATAATGTTACAATGATCGATGCACGTAGTACTATATCATATTGTTAAATGATGCAATTTTATACAACAATGTTGAACAGTGCGGACGTGTTATACAACATGTTATATAGTCTGGATGCACCTTAAGACAAAAGGTGGAGAAAGTCACGTGATGGGTCTGGAGGAAGGAAAGAGAGCTTCCAGTAGCATTCCGACATCCAATAGAAAATATATTTTGAGCATTGTAATGAATCTTGTACTACATTTTATAACAGGTACTGCACATAAGTGCATCAATCATTAGGAATTACCAAATAGAAAAACGTAAGTATACCTTCTTTGGTGTCTTGAGCCCTTTGCCTCCTTTTTGTGTCTGTAACAAATTTAGTCATGGACGGTTGATTTTTGATAGATTTTACATTTTGTTCGTGGATTTTTCGCTGTGTATGTTTTATAAGTGAGTCCTTTCCACTGGATATATTAATATCTTTATTGCATGCCTTGCAGAATCCAAAATTTTTCCCTTTTTGGCTTTTAATAAGCCAACCTGTGAAGCGTGGTTCTTTCTCCCAATCTGATTTGTAGGACTGACTGTATTTCATCTTCTTTTTTAAACCGTAACTGGTTCCTTCACCTCCACTATCAGCACTGTCACTATCACTATCCATATTTGTTTAATAAAAATTAAAATCCAGAAAAAATCAAAATTTATATCAGAGAATATAAATTTAATCACTACTCTTCAACATACTTCTAAACAGCCAACACCAACAGAGTATTAATAATATAAATCGTGTATCGACTATCGCGTCCTGCTGGTGTTAGCCAGGGGAATACCCGAGTCGCGTCGGGGAATTACCAAATAAATTGTATTTTGTAGAAATCAGTTATCGGTATTTATTTTACGATTTGGACGTGTACCACTAGATGTCGCTAAATATAAGAAAAGAAGAATAAACTGGGATGTTTTAAGCAAACTACAGAATATTTATAAGTAGCTTAGAGGGTAAAACATATTATTGTAATTTAAAAATATGCATATTTAGAAACAAAAAAAATCGGGAGATTTTTCATTAGAATCGGTAGATCGGTAGATCTCTTCTAAAATCGGTAGATCTACCGATAAATCGGTAGAGGTGGCAGCACTGCATGCTGTTATAAGATCTCCAATATCCCACTAAATGTCTATATATAAAAGTATAGCAATCTCAGATTTATTTGTAGAGCTGGCAAAGTTGCGGGGTATTAATGCACAATCTGATAACCGTGTCGCACCCTCAAAAAATGGCCGCTGACAACCACACAAGTCACCGTGTTGCCATTGAATAGCATGGAATTAACCTTCTTCAGTGTATATGTTTTGTGATAATAACCTCACTTTTTGTAAACGTAAACACCATGGCAGGGCCCCCGAAAAAATCACGTAAAGAGTCAGAAAGTGGTTCTGACAGCAATTCTGGAGATGATGCGAGTGATTCAGGCAGCTACGATGGTCAGCTGGTAAGTAATTTAATTATTTTGTAAGTATTTTCGCTATAGCACGCACAACATGCTTGATGCACGTCCTGAACGATTGTTTTTTTTTTTGTGGAAATTAGATGAAAATTAGGCAACAAGCAGTCTGGAATTCGTGATCTCCAGAAAAAAGATAAATTGGTTGACTGGAATCAAATTCTTTTGAGTAGTGCTGAAAATCTGTTCAGAACCAGCTTTTTTAATAGCATTGGATAGTTTCATTTTTAATCTAAGGCGACTACATTAGTCAATGACAAAGTATCATTTATAGAAGCACAACTATCTAGTCAATCGATATCCTGGTTAAACAGTAACTTTTTTTCATAGGAGATCCAAGCAACCTTTGAAGGTCGCAACCCAGAGTCAGTCGACTTTCATGGCATCAAGCAGTTACTTCAGCAACTGTTTCTGAAGGCTCATATAGATCTTACTCAACTGACTGACATGTTGATCAATCAGCAAGGCATTGGCAGTGTTCTGAAACAGAGCATAGATAGTGATGATGATGATGACGAAGATGAAGCTATGGATACAGGAGAGCAGGAAAATGTTTTTGGGATAACAAGTGTTGTTAATTTAGAAGCACATAAGGTAAATCTTGAACCTCACCCATAATAACTGCTAAGTTAGCAAACTAATGCGATATTTGCCACGTTTGGGTACAAAAGCTGGTAAACTAGTCCCTAGTCTACATTAGGCATGTTTGCTGTGAATGCCACTTATGGAGGACTGGTACAACAACCTATGGTATAGAATTACAACTTAGGCTACAGAGTTCTTAAACTCACTTTATTTACATAGCTCAAGTGTCTTAATGTTTGTGTAACACAAACAGCTCGTACAAGTCTGTATGAATTGAATAATAGCTGGTTCTAAGGTGACAATTATAGTGATCAGGAGGGGTATTATGTATCTTGAAAAGTGACATTTTGTCGTTTTTTTTTATGTAACATGTGTTGAATAAACATCATGATGCTTTAGTTATCAATGTTTGGCTCTGATGTAATGTAACATCTGCCTCAGAGATGGTGTTATTGGAGGACTAAGCCATAAGTTGTATACTATAGCTGGAAGGAAATGGCAGTGCATAGGTGCATAGTGAGGAATTGTGTGCTAATAATATGTGTTGATGATAATTCCATTAGTTTCTTGTCTCAAATACACTTACTTGAGAATCAAAGCTAGAAATTAGTTGCACATCCACTTTTTCTTATTCATTCTGGAAATAACATATGCAAATTTGCTGGACTTAAAAAATGAGACAGACAAGAAAATAAAATCCCTGGTTGGTGAAGTAACATGTGAGAAATTTGCTAATGACAGGAATATTTATGAAAGTGAAAAAGTTAATACATTGTTTTTTATTTGAAGTCATTTATATTTTATAGAAATTTATTTTGCGATGTCAATAGGTAATACAAATTACCGCCTAGATTTGAGGCACTGCGTCATTCCTAATTTTTCGTAAACCGGTCCCACACGATGTGGCGAATGACTTACAATGTTGGACTAATGGCCATTCGCCACATCATGTGGGAGAGCGCTGATGGATTACATGTATCCAACGTTCAAGACATGACACGTTCGGGCTTTTGTCGGTAACTTTGACCCACGTCAAAGGATGTTTCAACGTTGGAAGCATGGTTCGTTATGCTTCCCCACACGAGATGTCATGTGTTTGATGGTTTTCGGTTAGAACCAGTAGCGGCGAAAAACATTATTTACTTGTT